CATAACTTTACACAGAAGAGTAAGGCACAATTTTTGGTGCAGTATTTTTAGACTAATTTACACTTGAATACAGCGTCTGCTTTTATTTACAGTGTGAAACATCTGCAACATCAGCCAGTATAACAGACTGCTGCTACATCATCACTGAGTTTGCCACTGTTTTTAAATACTCCCATTAAATTATATAGCGGCAACTTTCGGTCCTTCTTTGCCGCTTCTGCAGAACGTAAAGTTTCTGACTCGTGCTCTTGTTAAGTCGCTTGGATGTCTTCCAGTAGCAAAAAACGAGGCGAAGGACAAAAGGGGCAAAACATTTATTTTCCATACAAATCGAAAGGTATAAAACAAATGCCTCTGGTGGGAGCTCCGTTTGTATTCCCTTTATGTTACAACAAAAAATAACATTAAAACGGCGACGGTCAAAAAACTGTTGCTCCACGTCCTGCTTGCTTACCTAACCTTTTACCCACACCCCTCTGCATGCGGGCCAAATACACACCCCTTTTACGACATCTATCAACACTTTACAACAACAACAACAGACTAACAAAGCAGGATTAATTTATGGAGCACAGCATATTACATTATAACATAAAATGATCAAGATTATAATAGAAACTTAAAGATCATGACAAATACTTAAATATGGCATGACGCAACTGAGTAAAATATTGGCCTGGACTTGGCTCCAACAAATTATATTTGTAACTAAAGCAAGTTTAATAATTTGCATCATTGACAGGCGCTCAAGGTGCATCGGAAACACTAGAAAAATACGACTAACATGAATTAAAGCTTAAACAAAACTGGACTCATATGGCAGAGAAATCTTACCTTCAACAGGTGAGAGAGCGAAAAGCAGCATAAAGGTGAGCTTTAAAGCTGAGAGAGACACACTGCACCTAAACTCTGCTACATCCATCTACAGTGAGTGTGAGACAGACGCTGACTGACAGCAGCTGATAAATACCAGTCTGTCTACTCTCCCTCCGCCCACTTCGCAACAATTTTAAAGCGCTTATTTTTTTGTCCCAGGCCCCCTGTATTTACCTGTTTCCAGGTGCCATTAATAATAATAATAATAATAATAATAATAATAATAATAATAATAACACAAGATTGTATAAATGTTAGCAGGAATTTTAGTGCCAGAAAAACAGGAGGTTTTCTGCAACAGTAAAGGAAGCCTGAAAAACTCCAAGTCAAGTGACGGGAAATTCCTATTAATTACAGTAAACAGTAAAAAGTTAACAGCCCACAAAAGTCAAAAGCAGCAGTTAGTTCCTCTTTATTTCACACACTGCTGTTGTGCAGCAAGAGTTGCACAACAGCTGAATGACAGAGAAGAAGCAGCTCACCTGTTCAGACAGGAGCTTAATTAGCTGATCGTCACCACCATTCTCTTCATGGAGACGAGAAAAAAATAATAAAACAAGCTGTTTTCTTCAGTAACATGAAGGAAGAAAGCGCTTCATGTGCGGCTCTGAGTCTGAAAGTGAAAATAAAATAAGAAGAAGGAGAAAGTTTCGTCATACTGACGTGGGTTTAGTTTCCATTTTTTTCTACTCCCGCTTTTAAACATGTTTTAAAGTTTTAGTTATTCTAACTGTGTTTCCAGCGTAATAATCTTAATCCACACACATATTAATTTTCTTTACATCTTATCCAGTTCAGGGACCTGGTTCAGGGGAATTCAGAGAGAGGGTGGATGGAGTGAAGCTGATGACACAAGAGTGAAAGGTCTACACATCTACACCCACACTGTAGTGGGTAGGTGTAGATACTCACAGCCAAAAGTTAAAGACAAAATTCAGCCTTAAACCAGGGCGATTTTAGCCCATTCAAAATGAATCAAAGCACCCCCAAAGATTTCTTACTTTTTTTGACAATATTTGCTGTTTGTGTGACACACTACTAAAAATATAAAAAGCATTCAGTACTTGGTTGAGACGTAACATTTTAACAAAAAACGTATAGATACCCCCCACACCCCCACACCCCCCACATCCCAAATGGTTTGTTCCAGAGTTGCCTCCATTTTTATAATTTTTTTTAATCAATATTTTGCGCATTTGTACATTTCAAGGACTCTATTTTTGGAGTGTATTTTGTATGTATCTGTATTATATTATACATACACATTAAAAGTGAATCTCTGTCCAAAAAAATGCACTCAGTTTACTTCTTACTCATCATCATCTTACAGCATCATTCATCATTTTCCCCCTGTAATGAAGGTTAGGATATGTATTTTTTTTCTATTCCAATCCATTCTTCTTTTGCAGCATTTAAATAACCTTGATCAGATTTGATGGTTTTGTTACAGACTGTGAAAAAGTGTTTTGCTTTTCTTTCACAAATATGGGAATTAAATTGTGTTAAAATGTACAAAACAGTGATGTCATGTTTTGTGACGAGGACCCAGGCACAGAGAGACTTGGTGAATTTAAGAATCTTATGATTTAATAAAGAAATTTGCAGACTTGCACAGAGATGGTAAAATTATGATGACTGATAGCAGAGATGAGGACAACAGACGATGAGGACAGGGAGGAACAGGGGTTTAAATACACCAAGGAGACAGGCAAAGAGAACTCGGGACAACTGGAGACATTTAAGGATGCAGGGACTGACAGAGACAGGGAAGAAGTGTCATTGTGACGAGTAAAGTTTATCTTGCCTGGCTGGGCAGCTCTCTGGGTGCTCACTTTTTTAAAAAAGTGATCTTTGCAAACATTTCTGGCACAACTTCACCTGTTTCCAAGATACATGGATGAAAAAATCACAATGCAGGAACTCCAGCACCACTTAAAGGGAAAAGGAACAACTCCACTGTCCACTTTTAAAACACGTCTTAAAACCCATTTTTACTCTTTGGCTTATGACACAGTCTGACCCTGATTTTATTTTTTTAATCTAATGTGCTGATTTTATTGTTTTAAATGTGTTTATATATATATATATTACTTATCTTATTATTTTACATATTATTTTTTTAACATGCTCAATGTATCATGTTTGGCACGTCAAGTGTACAGCACTTTGTGTTCAGCTGGTGGCTGATCTGAAAGCGCTATATAAATAAATTGCTTGCTTGCTTACTGACTGACCAACGCCTTCCGGCTGTGACCTTGACCCTGATGAAGGCCACAACATGAAAATACGTTGGTCAGTCAATAAAGTTGTTCGTCTTCCTCCAAAAAGTGATCCTTAAAAAAATGACCAAAGATCATAGTTAATCTCCATGCTTTCTGAATTTTTTTCAGACTTTTTCTTTGAACACTGGCTGCTTTTTCACTTATTTTTCAGGCCAGTTCTTGTAAGCGGTATAGTCACAGGAATGTTTTTGTCTCTTTAGCAATACTGATCTATGAAGGGTCCCAGCATGAAAAAGGGATCTAACTCAAGGGATGAACCAGTGTTTTGACTAAAAAAGACAAACAGACAACAAAGAACCAATTTAAATAGCATGTTTAGGCATTTTGTTACTAGCAACCTGTAAAACAAACGCCCAAAAACAAGCAAACAAAAAAAAATTGTTCCCAGTTTTATAGCTGAATCTATGATGAATCACGAAGGGTAGCACTGTTTATCAGGAATAAAGCTGTATTTTTGCACCAACAAGCTATTTTGTAAAAATACTATATTATTTAGCATGGTGTGCAGTGTTCTTCAAAAAAATATCTGAAACAATCTGAAAGGAATGTTCTCTGGAACATCAATAAGTGCCATTGCCGGATGGTGTGTTGCTGTGTCTCCCAGCACAGTCTGAGGAGCATGGAGCTGATTCCAGCAGACAGACAGTTACTCTAGGAAAGCTGGACAGGGAAATAGAAGGTCCTTAACCCATCAGCAGGACCATTACCTGCTCCTTTGTGCAAGGAGGAACAGGAGGAGCACTCCCAGAGCTACAGAATGACCTCAAGGAGGACACTGATATGAATGTCTCTGACCAAACAGTCCAAAACAGATTTCATGATGGTGGCCTGAGGGGCTGACGCCCTCTAGTGGGCCTGTGCCTATTAACTGGCACTGTGGAGCTCAACTGACATTTGCCTTAGGATACCAGAATTAGCATGGTTTGGAGTAGCCATGGAGAACGTTATGCTGCCTGTAACATCATTCAGCATAACCGGTTTTGTGGTCGGTCATCGATGGTCTGTGGAGGTATATCCATGCAGGCAGGAACATGCCCTGATGCTGTCCAGCATTCATACAAGCACATGGGGGGCCATACAAACTACTGAGTACCATTTTTAGATGATGCAATGAAATGTCAGCCTACCACATATTTTTTCTGCTTTGATTTTTAGGTTGTTCTTTGTAGTTTTATCATTTTCATTTCCATCAAACAATCATTTAGTCCCTAATGCATTACCCAGTTCACATGAGAGTAGATATCCAGCATCATCTTTGGTCTGTCACAACTGTAGGTCTCTCACTTTCCAACATCCAAAGATGCTCTGCATTCAGATCTGGTGACTGGAGGCCATTGGAGTGTTTTCCAGTCTTCTGTTGTCTACTTTTGGTGAGTCCATGTGAAATGTAGTCTTAGTTTCTTGTTCTTAGCTGAAAGGTGGGGTCCCCAGAGTGGTCTTCTGCTCCGGTAGCCTATCTACTTCAAGGTCAGGTGTGTTGTGCTTTCAGAGATGCTCTTCTGCAGTAGCTTCTTTGTAATGAACAGTCAGGTGAGTTAATTTCCTGCTCACTGGATATTTTCTCAATGTTTGCTGTCTTGACCGTGTCTACGTGCCTAAATGCTTTGAGTTGTTGCTGATGTATTTGGCTGATTACTGTGACTAGCTGTGGAAGAGGTGTACCTAATAAAGTGGCTGCTGAATGTATGTAGCTGACTTTATTGGACTGTACAGTAATTGGTCCGATGTTCTCAGGTTGTATATATTTTCCTTATCTCTTTTCTGATAAATATAGTTTCACATGTTTTACTTAAACTTTTCATCAGTTTTGTAAAGTTTCAGAAAATCCTTCAGATCTGATTTTTGTTTCTGAAAATATGTTACTCTACAGGACGCCTACATTTTTGCAGAACTCTCTCTAAAGTCAGAAAGGTTTTGAGAAAAAAGTGTGGTGAAAGGTTTTTCTCTATTCATTATAGAGTTGAAGTCAATTATTGAATGTTCATTTGGCAATTTGTTTAGTATCTTCTGCACAGGCGAGTCTGTGTTATGAAAAATGCCCTGACTGTTTTGAGAACTGCATGAAGAGTGGTGAGATTGGCAAATCGACTGAATTGTCCAAATCTGAACATCTTCAGCTCGGCCTTCTGTCGTTCTGTCAGCGCCATCGTCTCCAAACCATAAATCATAGCAGGCTTCACTACCACCTCATGAACCTTCCCTTTCACTCTTACTGCTCTCCTTCTGCCACAACTCAAACCTAAAACTCATCATCCCCCAAAACAACATGAGCAACAATATCATATTTTTAATCATGATATTTATTTATTTATTTATTTTGTAGTTGTGATTTTAAACAAACAAACACACATGTCACCACTCAAGTGCTTGAAACTTCAAAAACACAAAGAAATCCAATTTTGGAAATGACCACTAGGGGGCAGAGTCTATCAGCCTTCAGTTAATCCAAAATGCTGCAGCAAGAGTACTGACAGGGACTAGAAAGAGAGAGCACATTTCTCCTGTTTTGGCTTCCCTTCATTGGCTTCCTGTTAAATCCAGAATTGAATTCAAAATCCTGCTCCTCACATACAAGGTCTTAAATAATCAGGCCCCATCTTATCTTAATAACCTTGTAGTACCATATCACCCTATTAGAGCACTTCGCTCTCGCTCTGCAGGCCTACTTGTTGTTCCTAGAGTATTTAAAAGTAGAATGGGAGGGAGAGCCTTCAGTTTTCAGGCCCCTCTTCTGTGGAACCAGCTTCCAGTTTGGATTCGGGAGACAGACACTATCTCTACTTTCAAGATTAGGCTTAAAACTTTACTTTTTGCTAAAGCATATAGTTAGGGCTGGACCAGGTGACCCTGAATCCTCCCTTAGTTATGCTGCAGTAGGTGTAGGCTGCTGGGGGATTCCCATGATGCATTGAGTTTTTCCTTTCCAGTCACCTTTCTCACTCACTATGTATTAACAGACCTCTCTGCATTGAATCATATCTGTTATTAACCTCTGTCTCTCTTCCACAGCACGTCTTTTATCCTGTCTTCCTTCTCTCACCCCAACCGGTCGCAGCAGATGGCCGCCCCTCCCTGAGCCTGGTTCTCTCTGTATATTGTACGATCTACTGTACAATATAAAGCGCCTTGAGGAGACTGTTGTTGTGATTTGGCGTTATAAAAATAAAATTGAATTGAATTGAATTAGAGTCATTTTCCATTTCAGAATGGTGCCACACTGTGAAACGATGATTATAGGTGAAGATTTCACAGATTGTAGTTTCACCTGAAAAGTTTTTTTTTTTTTTTGTATTATTGTAGAGTCTTTACCTTACAGTATAAAGCACATTAAAGCAACTGCTGTTGCTGTGATTTGGATGTAAAAATAAAATTTAAAAATTAAAATTAAAAAGTGAAGCCAGCTTGTGCCTCATTAAAGTCTCCTGCCGTCTCAGCCTTTTATCTTTTACTAGAAAAAATACTTCAGACGTGGGCGCGAATGGTGACTTTATACTGTCAAAATCAATGCGACTCTTAGAAATGACCTCAATAGATGTGAGGTTGCAGAGCTCGCCTTTTAATGTAAATAAATGAACTTATAATTAAATCTTGTACTGTGTTAGTTTTTAATCACATGACATTAGAGTCAAGCAAGAAATAGTTTTTAAATATTTGTTTTGTTTTTGTCTTAAAATGTCGCACAAGCTGAGGTTTCAGACTGAAACTGTGTTTGCACTTTCATTCAGTAAACTGGTTCTTTGCTCTGACAGACCACCAAATTAAAATGGGAGGACAACATTTATATTTACATATCTTATTTATTTAGACCACAGATTTGCTCTTTTTAAAGTAAATATTAAACAACTTTATGACAAAATAATTCATCATCTTTGAGGGCTGCAGTGAGCTACAGGGAAAGTACAAGAAACTTATATTCACCTGACTATCATATGACAGACTCAGGGTTAAATAATAAAACAACAGAAGCTTGGCACCTGAAAAAACTGGAAACAATGCAATAGAAAAACAGCTTTGTCATGACTTGCTTTCATTAGTATGATGACAAGATAGTTCTAGGACACGTGGATTGAGTTTCCTCTCACATGGAGAAGCCTGGGGCAAACAAGTGGATGAGTCAGTGTTTGCGGGAAAGTACAAAGCATAAATTCAGTGATTTAAAGATATAAATGGTAAAATTGAAGAAGTTTTAAATGCAGTTGAAACAATGATTAAATGAAAACCACATTTCTAAAAACCTGATTAAAATTAGAGCCTGACAGGATCTGTTGATGAGCTCTGAGTATCTGAATGAAATCAGATACAGTGGGAAGAAGGAACAGGAAGTGAGCTAATCATGAGTAAATTAGTGGGAAGTCCCTGTCTGCTCAGTTTCTATAAACAGATCCACACATAATAAACATATTAAGGAAGTTTCACTTGTACACGTGAAAGCAGAAACTGTAATGAGAAATTGCAAGGGACTGGCTCAGTCGGGTAATTCTGGAGTACATTTTCCAGTTTTCTACTTTCCGAGCTTCATTCATAGCAGTAGAACAGGTTACTCAATACACCGCTGAAAAACAGAAACTGAGCACTCTCTCATTCACTTCTTCAACTGCCAAGCTGGAAGTGTTTGTTTGTTATTCATGAGTTATATAAAAAATTAATTTAAAAAAATCACAAGCAAAAAAATGACAAAAAGAATAAACAATAAATAGTTTAAGAACAAAAGTCTATGATTTTACAGCAGTGCATGCAAAACAAGCGGGTCTTCAGCTGCAGCAGGACTCGGCTCAGTTTACATTTACAGTTTTTATACATGAAGACGAAACAAAAATAGATCCCAGCACAGACTCTGATGTCTCCGCTCAGCTGGCTGCTGGTTTGATTGTTGAATAGAAAGTTGCTTCAGAATCTGTTTCTGCTAAAGACACAAAGATGCAAACTGTTAAACTACTAACAACATGCAGACATTAAAGTTCAACTACACTTCATCACATGCTATACATTTTTAAAACATCTACTTACAGTGACACCAGGCAGGGAACAGATGTGTGGGCTTTCTTTGTTTCACGCTTCATTTTTCAGTGACTCTCACACAGTATGAAGGGGGTGTCCCCGCCCCCTTAAAATATGACTGCCTCTACATTCAGCGCTGAAGTGTTGCAGTGAATCAGTACTCACTTGTAGTAATGGGCAATTCTTTATAATGAATACTTTTACCGTAAGCACTGCATACATTTTGATGCTAAAACATTTTTAACATTATTATTAAGGAAGATCTTTGTGTACCAATAATAGGAAATGCAGTAAGTCTTTACATTTAAAAGAATCTCTGTGATGGTACAGGACACAGCAGTCATTTATAAGCCACTTTTCTCTGTTTCTGTCACTAAGACACGTCATGGCCTGGTAGAGGAACCAAATGCAAGGCGCTGAGGGAGGCTGAGCAATGACCAGAAAGTAAAGTTAGTACTCCATGTGAAAAATCCCTAAAATGCATTTAAAGGAGAGAGGACAGAGTTCAGCCTGTCTTATATGGAAAATGGACGCAATGATGCAGTGAAACGTGCAAACATAGAATCACAGTATATTAGGCAATGAAAGCTTGTACAGGTCTTACACAGTTGAAGGTTGTGTTATTCCTCAACACAGCCTGAACTCTGCAGCGTTCTTGTTTCTTTACGTCATCTTCAGGAATAGTTCTCCGGGCTTCTTGAAGGACATTCAAAGCTCTTCTTTAGATGTTGTCTACCTTTATATGATCCCGTACTTCAACAATGTTGAGGCCTGGGCTCAGGGAGGCGAGTCCATGACTGACAGTGTTTCTTTGTGTGTTTTTCTAACACTCTGTTTCTAATGCATTGTCAGTGTTTGGGATCATTGCCATGCTGAAAAATGAAGTTGCTGCCTTTGAGATGCTTTTCAGATGTTGTGGATCAAAACCTGATGGTATTTTTTCTGTATTCATAATTTCAGCAGTTTTGACAAGATCTCCAAAACACTGGCTGAAGTGAAATGAAAAACCATGAGGAAGCTTTACAGGTGGCTGTAGACACTCACTGTACCTCTCTCACGACCTCCACTGTACATACTGATGACAGTTTGAACCAAATATTTTAATTTGGGATTCACTCTATCACTTCCTGTTTTCCTACCTTAAGAATGGGTTCTTGATGGCAGCCCTACCACTTAACACCAATTCTGATGAGGCATCAGTAAATGTGCAGAGATTTCCAAGATTTTCGGCTAATGGTTCTTTGGGAAGCATCGTGTTGGTGCAAAAATGCTGTGTTTCTCAAACTGTGTTATCTTTGGCATTTTTGTAGAATCTGATGACAAAATGGGAATATTTATGTGCAACAAAGATGCAATTAAAAATGTGTTCTTTGCTAATCCTTTGTTATGTGTTGACACATCAGTGGGTTAGGTTCCTTATACTTCAGTGATTAATAGTTGAGTTAAGTAGCTTAACAAATAAAAAACACATTCCCCTAAAAAAATTAAAATAAATAAAAAAAATTAAAAAGAGTGAAAAAGCAGCCAGTGTCCAAAAGAAATATTTGAAAGACGTTCAGAAAGCCTGGGTAACTACTGCTCAAGACCACTTTGAGAAAGATTACAGGGAAGTCTGACCCCTTGGAAACCAAATATAAAAAAATTAGGTTAGCTCAGGACTTTTGCACAGCACTGTATACTATCTTGCCACACTGTGTCATATTGTGACTTTAAATTGGGGCCCTAAATATCAAATATGAGTAGTCTCTCCTCATGGTAGGGGGGACTAAGATGCGACGAGAGGAGCATAGGAGAATGTAATGAGCAATGCCCATAGACCAGGCAGAAGTAAACCCGGAGAAACTAAACATAGTAACATTTAAATAGAAACCAAAAGTCATTAAACGCAACAATCTGGGAACACAACAGATTTTGATGATATTTTTATTACTCATGGGTGCTCTCTGTCTGGTTTTTATCCCCCCGACCACAAGTGAAACCACATTTTTAGAACTCTCTGAACCCCCTGTGAGCCACCCACCTGTATTTGTTTCTTTCTATGTTTAGTTATCGTTTGTATCTTATTATGTGCTGATACTCCACTGACTCTATAAATCATTAACAAAATGAAACTTGTTCGTGTGCTTCCTTGATAACGACTGATACTCGTGTCATTAAACAATGAGGTCGTAGTTTCATGCAGACGTTTACACTTGACTCAAAGATAAAAGAAGTTTCACTCATGACCAGATAACATAGCACAAATAAAGTCTTTATAACTTTCCACAAAAGGGAAAAACTGAGGTAATATAAATAACATACATATGCCTCAGGCTCTTGTGTACGTGTGGGAAAAGAGCTCTGCATGTGTTTTTACCTTTGTCACTCTTTGGCTGCACTTCCGGTACGATGGTGACATCAGTGTAGGAAACATCAGGGTCAGTTTCACCTGCAGCACAACACTTCTCACTGTTAAACATCTGTTTGGAAATATGATTTTCGACCATAAAACAACCATGTAAAAAGTTAAACATATAGCTCTCTGCTACATGTAATCGATCTCATTTATATAGTTTGTTCGGTTAAATCACTAAATATAGGTCAGCTTAGTAAAGAGAGAACATCACAGAAAACCATTTGTAACGTAAATCCTGCTGTTGATTCATCAAAATTAGATTCTTAAAGCTGTAGCGCTCTTCCAGGTGTTTTGTCTTCAGTGACCTGCTTTTACATGACACTCTCTGTTTTACCAGGAAACATCTGCTGCTTTTTTATGCTGTCTCCCAACAATGAGCTCTCAGCGATGCATAAACTCCTGCAGATACAGACGAGGAAGTTCAGTTAAGGCTTGCAGTGTGAGCAGGAAGCTGGACTACCCGAAAGAAACCCACACAGGGAGAACATGTGCAGTCTTTACATAAACCTGTAAAAGTGTGGGGGAGGGTTTGATAGTTTCATAGTTTAATACTACCAGTATTATTTTTGGTCTTACAGTTATGTCTAAACACACCAGAACCAACAACGACCCGATTACTTTCTGATTGTGTTTTTTCACACAGGCCCTCTGTTTTGACCCAAATCAAACAAATACAACATAAACGGTTTCTGTGCAGCGAGTTTCGACACTTTCATCATACAAATAGTGACTGAACAGAGATCAGATCTGCAGTGAGCTCATGAAACACAAAGACATACCAAGGAGATCGAACAGCTGATAACACAGAAGAATATGTAAGACACGATGCACTCATACTTTTTTACATTAGTCGCACCACTGTGTTTTAAGTATATCAGCTCATGTATGTACCGGCCTGTGTTAAAACCATGTCTGGTGCCAACAATTGACCCAAAATCTTCAATCAGAAAGGGGAAGATATGAACAAAGTGAAAGTACATGGCTTTTGCAAAATAACCACAACGAAATGCAGCAAAACACATTTTTGATGTGGAAAATAATAACTAAGAATCATATCAACACTCAGCAAAATCAAAAATAGTCCAATGACTAGCCCAGTTTCATTACAGCCCTTCTAAGAAAGTGTTCGTTAAGTGTATATAAACAGTACACATGAGAAATATTAAATCATCATTTTAAATTGATTTAATCACATTTTTAAAATGTGCATTTATATTTATATTGTGAGCAAAAGATGTCTTCTTTTTTTAAGTTCAAAAATAAATTTGGGAGGATCTAAAACCTGAAAGATTGTTCTTTTATCTTTTGAAAGGCAAAGTTAATTGGTCGGCTAGAAATGAATAGAAACTATGCGGGAAATGACGCTCTCAGTCACCTTTGTTTAGACTGTATCATAATTTTTAAGATGTTTTATTGGTTGTTAAGCTTAAGAGTGTAAAAGCTAGCACCAAGATTTAAAAAAGGCATCAAAGACACTGTTTACGTCCGATCACTTTTTAAGTTTCAATATTCTCATTTTACTAAATAAAGAGCCACAAAGGTTCAGTTTGCAGGGATGCGCTGATACTTGCATGCGATGACTACGCACATATAATTTTCTTCTGGAAATTTGCATAATCTGACTTTTTGAAACTGCATGGTGTTATCTGATGTGGCACAACCCTCCCAGAAATGCCATCCAGGGGAAAATAATCGACTAAATCAAGTACGCGGTTCTGCTGCTGTGACAGCTGAAAGAACAACAGATAAACTTACTCTTTATCGCCACGCTGAAAAACTAACAGTTAATCTCTTTGAAACTTATAATATAATCTTAATATGTACATAGTTTCATAAAGTAAATTACCTTAATTTATTGGAAACTTAGGGCACTCTAACCAGCAGTGCACTTTTGGATTTTAGCGCCGGGATTCTGTATGAGAAATTGAATGATATAAACTGTGTGTTTACAGTAACTAAAGAATATGACTGTAAGTGCAAAGCTGTGGCTAACAGATATACTTCAAAAACAGACTGACCTTTGTGGTTCCTCCAGAGGCAGAACAGCAGCACCAGCACAACCAACACCACAGCCAGCGAGAGGCAGACACCCACCACAGGAAGCACAACATACATAGGAGGGGAGTGAAAAGATTTGGGTCGCCCAGCTTAAACACAATAGAAAACAGAAACCACAGTTTGTTCTTGATGCAAACGCAACAACAAGTTTGGGCTATCGCGTTGGTAGACTGTGATCTCTGTGCATACTCAAATAAAAGCACCAACAAATGTGGAAACAGAAGTTATATCTACTGTGTGAAAACGTTTGTTTCCTTTTTACTTTTCAGTCCTCTCACCTTTGACAGACAGCCAGCTGTCCGGTGATTCTCCGCTACCAGAGATGGTACACTTGTAGAAACCTTCATCAGACTTTGAAACTTTGAGGATGGTCATGATTCCTGTAGAGCTGTTCCTGATGAGGAGGCCATCTTTATAAAATTCAGCTGGGATAAAAGAAGTATTTTTATCCATGCAGCGCAGAGTTGCAGCATCGCCCTCCTGCAGAGGATGGACTGGACTCTCCAGGATCACAGAGCCTCCTGAACAACAGCATGACAGAAATGATCAATTAGTTGGTTTTAATGTGGCTCAAAGCTTCAGTTAAAAAAAAAAACTGAAATCAAACATAGTCAATCCAAACTATCCTTCTTCCTTAAACCAAGACATAGTCCAGATCAGATAAGCTCAAAATGGAAAAAAACTTCCTCCTCAACATCTGGCATGTTTGAATGAATTCAGCTATTTCAGCCATTCAGATGCCATTTTAAGTTACTACTGCATTTAACAGCTTTTCATTTCATTACACGTAGCGATAAATTTCACTAATGTATCCTTTTTGTTTACCGAGCTAGATTTTTAGTTCTAAATATTAATTTGCATTTTTATCCAAACATTTTAACTGGCAGGGCATACTTTTAGGTCAATAATTTATAACTTTTTGTTCATAATTTTAGCTAGCTCCAGCATTTCATCTAATTATTGATTATGCGAAGCTATGATATTAACTAAAAGCTTTAACTGTTAGCCATGCTTGGAATAAGCTTTGTCCATGCACTAATATCTAAATGACCCTTATTGCAGTACTTTAATCCAAACCCATTAGAGTCAGCCATTAGATTTTCTGCTAATTTCTTTAGCTAACTGCAGGTGTTGAGTTACCCTTTACATGTTTCTCCTAGTTACTCCAGAACTGCACCCTCTGGTTAGCATGCTTGTACCCCATGATACAAGTTTTTGTTTATTTTGAACTAAACGATTTATGTTAAGCTAACAGGGTGCAGGTTCTCGCTTCATATTAGATATTTAAAGAAGTAAAACAATAATAATGCTCTTTTCTGTATTTTAGCAAAAGTCTGTTTTTGAATCTGCTTGTTTGCTATCAGGAGGCCACAGTCAGTATTAATATCAGACAATGGATAAGAAGTCATTTGGCTGGAAAACATAAATGAGGTTTGTAGCTGTTTCAACAAATCCTCATGTCAGGATTCTCATGGTGCATATTTAATATTTAATATCACGTTATCAGTCTGTAATAACACAACATTAACATAAAGTGACCCACTATAACGGTTAGTGGTTGGATTTCCCTGAAATTTGATGCATTAATTTAAATGCCCTCAGTCCACTCGGTGACATTTTCTGTTAGGTCCAAATCTGTGTTGATTGGTGCTTAATTCTAATTAGAAATTTTTCACTATTTTAATATGCTAAACTTCATAAACCTGCTGAACATCCCACCCGCATGTTGGTGTCATATTTCAGTCAAAACTCTGCAATGAGAACTATCTGTAATCTGGCTTTTAAATCCAAATGACAGCCTCTTCAATTTAGTACTTAAACTCACCAGTCACAGTGATGTTGACAGCTTCACTGCAGGCTCCAGCTCCATAGTCACACCAGTACAATCCACTGTCTGATGGGTAAGCATCTTGAAGGAAGCAGTTTGATTCATTTTTTGCACCCCAGTGTTTGGAACACTCTTCATTTGTTTTTGTTGACGTGTTTCTCTTTATTGTCCAGTTAGAGTTTTTAAGCTCTCCACAGCTCAGTGTAACAGACTCGTACCTGAAGAACTGAGATCTGTTGGGAAAGATACTCAAAGTGGCTGAAAGAAACAGAGAAAGAAACAACAAACAGAAAGGTGAAAAACAACTAAATACTTTTACAATAACAGATATAAGGTTTGAGCTATAAGGTAGCCACCACCACCTAAAACTGAGTCTAGCTGCTCTTGAAGCTGCTGTAGCATCTGTTCTGTGAAAATTCTCTACCAAACACTGATGAGAAGGTGCTTCCCTCCATTGTCGTTGGTGAACGGAAACCAAATGAGTGTAGAGTATTTGCAATTAATAATGCTAAATGGTTTCCACCAGTTGCTGTTTCATGAAACAACAATGCACTGTAAAATCAAAAGAAACACAACTGACACCATTTGTCTCCTCTTTGCAGCTCTGTTACGTGACATATGTAATGAAAGCTTCACATATTACCCACAAAACAGATACATCTGCATCTCCTGTTACAAGGTTTCATATGAAACACATGTGGGGTTTTTGAACGATGCACTTTATGGGTGAATATGTGATCTGTATCAGGATGTCAGAGTGCAAATACGGTTTTATGCCCTAATTAAATGCTCAGCTGCAATTCTTTTTATTTTGTCTATGTCTATTGTATTATTTACCTCATGAGCACATCAATAATTAATTAGCATTCGCTTAATTTCACTTCATTATCTAAAAACAACTTCATAGGTAAATTAACTCAAATTAATAAAATATGAAGCAAAACTTCTGTAGTTAGAAACTACATTAAAATACTGAAGCTGTAAACTGAACACATATAGCAATAAAATGTAAGAAGTTTAGCAACAATGAGGCAACTTTTTGCTTGTAAAAGTTGCTCAGTTTTGCAAGATGGTTTAACAATTATAAAGTAACAATTACCTTGTAATATCAAATAATCACAAAGCTTGCAGTTTATTGTAAAGTATGTTTGAATTCATGTGAAATACAAAAACTTAATTTCTCTTTAATGTTATGAAAAGATCAAAGGCTGAACTATTAATCCATCTGTTCATTAAAGCCAAAAGCTAAAGCCCACACACAGACTCACTGGAGACTTGACACATTCTAGTACTCACCCATAATTGTGCACAGAGCTGTGATCTCCATGCTGCTTGGCTGGTGTTCGACTCTCAGACTGAAGAGTTTCGGAGGGGCTGCATCACACCTCAGTGCTGACTTAGTGAAAAAGACAATTATGCAGGATGTATGTCACAGTTTTATTTTTGAAACCACAAATGCAAAATGTTTACGTTCTTCACCCTGAAGACCTGAAGTATATTAATAATGTATTAGACCTGAATCAAAACAGCCCTGAGATTCATGCAGAAAAACTTAAATCTTGCATAACAATCTTCAAACATTGCATAAAACTTAGAGAAGAAATTTAATTATTTTGATGTCTGGACGTATGTTACTGTTATATTAAAGTTGCATTTGTTGATTTGTGCAGTTTGCACATGCAAGTTGCAAAAGAAGTTTCATGTCACAAGACTTTGGAAGTGAGTCAGGTTACTGGCAGGATTTTGGTAAGAAAAGCAGATATCCCCTAAAGTTTTTTTTGTTTTTGTTTGGTTTTTCAATAATGGCACAACTAAAAGCATTTCCCTCAGCGCCCCCAAAAACTCCAGATTTGACTTGATTAGGTAACTGTAACGCAGGGTTTGCCAGCAAAATTCCCAGAGCGCCTGGCTTGATGAGGCTCACTATCACAAGTGATACTTTGGGCACCTTTTCCATTCAATCAAAACTTAAGACTTTTGTTTTCTCACCAGTACGATTTCAAACAAATCTCTCTGTCTCTCTCTGTCTCTCTCTGTCTCTCTCTCCCTATATATATATATATATATATATATATATATATATATATGTATCTACATATATTTATTCATTTATTTATTTCCAAGCAGCTTTATGTTGGTGTGTGTCGGCAGTGTTTGCTTTGAGTTGGATAGAGAGTTAAACAACTCTGCACACTCCCACACAGTAGGTTGGCGTTCTTTCAAACCTCTACGCTTTTGTGTCAAGAGGGTTTCAGTTAGTTACAGGGAGATTCGTTTGAAATCATACTGGTGAGAAAGCAAAAGTCTTAAGTTTTGATTGAATGGGAAAGGTGCCCAAAGTATCATTTTGGGTACTTATATATATATGAATACAATTTTAAAAATCCTGTCTTAAAACATATAACACTTATTGACCCTACTGTACAAGCACTGAAATATACCAGGCCAAACACAGCTGCAGCAGTGAAACTTCCATCAGAGGCGGTGTGGTGTGTTTCAAAAGTGTCTTTTACTCCACTGCTTCAAAGTGTGCTGAGTCTGTATTTACGGGAACCTTTTTAACAGAGTAAAGTCAAGCAGGAACTAAGGGAATCTAATTACTCTTCAATGAAAAGACTCACTGCAGTCCATGGGCCTTGTTTCTGAAGCAATTCAGCGACTGCTGTGATACAGAGCAGGTGATGATCAGACACAACTGCTGGAGACATGACTTTAAAGACACGGGGTGTATTTCAGGAGTTATATTTATGTATGAAGCAGAGGTTGAGACATTTAGTGAAGATATTACAACATTACAACATCTGAACTAAATGTTAACCTCACCAGACACAGGTCGCTGGCCCAAATCTATGGAGAGAAATTTGCGTTACACACATGTGCAGGTCCTCAAAAGTTACACACAAATCACTGGGCACATTTGTAAACATCCATTTAAGCAACTTTCTAACACTTTTGAGACAAATTTCTCTCCAAATGTATCCGTTTTTTTCTAATATTGGTTTACTCAGGTTACTAAGTAAATAACTTAACTAACCTCACTTGAAATATGAGTGATTACTCATATTTGTGAGATTATGGAGGAAAACTCATCTCAGAGATTAAAGATACCAACATCCACAGCTCTTTTCTGTGATTTCATCTATGTTTGTTGTCTTGTTCTTCCTGTTGCTCCTTTTATCTTTTAACTGACATAATATACTATTATGTAGCAGTGGGTTACATAATAACATGTGGGATGTGCAGTCATACTTTAGCAGATAATTCAGTTCAATTACAATTTTTTTTTATATTTTTCCAAATTGCAAAAACAGTCATCTCAAGATGCTTTTTATTGTAAAGACTCTACAATAGCCCAGAGAAAACCACAACAATCAGCTGACCGCTATGATCCAGCACGTGGCAACAGTGGGAAGAAAAAAGAAACAGGAAGACACCTCCAGCAGAACAAGCTCAGGGACGGGCAGCCATCTGACATGACCAGCTGGGATTGGCAGAAGAAGTTGAGACACAGACATACTGTGGAAGAGAGTCAGAGACGAATAATAGCTACTGATGAAATGCAGAATGGTGTGTATATAACAGATAATAATGGTATTTTAAAACATCTACAAGTATAAACTGTACAGTTCCAAATCATCTGGCCTGTGGCTATAGTTACCATACTTACCAGCATAAAAACTCCAAAACAAATTTCCCTGGCAGGTTTAGTAAATCTAGTGTTAACGTGTACAGATGTGGTTTGTGGTGAATCTCTGTACCAGTTCCTCTAAAGTCCAGTTTGAACCTGCAGGATGGGCTTTAGAAAGTCAAGCTCACAACTAGGGAGAAGTTGTGGGTGTTTCAAATACATTTTTGGTGAGATTTTACTGGATGCCAGTCTAACATAAAGCTAACACACAGAGACTGCAACCACACACTCTCACATCCCAGCCAGGTTGAAAAAGCAGAGCTTCTATGAAATGGAAATCCACTACAACTTCTATTTAACCCCACACAGAAAAGTCCCAGCTGACCAGGATGTTTGAACACAAGGTGATACCGACAAATAAACACCGTGGTGCACTGATGTTTCACTGGCAGCACGTTCGTATTTATCACATAGACAAGATAAAAGCAAATAAAGTTTCAATGAATGGCCGCATCCATGAGGAAAGACAAACTGCACACATATACAGACTCGGTGGAGGCAGAGGAGCTCATTCTTGGACCGTGTGAGGCCTTTGCATGTTGATCCTTTCAGCAGCTTCTGCATTCAGTTGTTGCCCGCTGTTGCTCAGTAAAAATGAGGATCGGAGGTGTTTGATTTCGTAACCTCCCCCATCCCTGCTGCCGCTCCTCTGATCTTTTTACTTTCATTTTACCAACGAGGCAGCAGCTGCTCCACGGTCTCTCTCTTTTACCAAATAAAGTAGTTTTCTTATAAACACTGCTCCGAGAATCCGACGGTCACCGTGAATTTACAAATCTGCGATCCGAACAGGTGAGTCTCTTCTCTGTGATATCACAGCTGCTTATGAAGTTTGGTTTTTATATTCACCCATGTGTCGTTCAATTTTCGCTTTCTCAAACTTCAAGTTCAGTAAAAGTAGAGATGAATATTCACTACTTTTTCCATTTGAAGTTTGATACTGTACAATTAATCACGTTGAAAGCACGTGTTTCTGGGGAATTCACCTGTTAGGACACGCCCCTCATGTATTTATAGCTCGTGTTCAGACTTATGTTCAGCTGGTTTCGAGATGCTTTATTTATTTTCTGCATTACTGTCATATTAAAATGGGCGTAGGAGAGTTCAGTTACAGGATTTCTATCTCAACTCTAATAGTTGTCTTTCCGCTCCTTTTCGTCTTCAGGCTTGCTCAAGGTAAGCTTTAAAGTACATGTAAGGTATCCTTGCTTTGCAGCCAAATATTATTACTACTCTCTCTCTCTCTCTCTCTCTCTATATATATATATATATATATATATATATATGTTTTCGTATGTAGCGCTCGAGACCTGTCAGACTTATGCGGCTGTACTGTTATCGTAGCCAATTAAATAAACATGACTGAGGCAATCCCTTTAATTTCTATGGAGACAAAGAAAGGAAACATGTCAGCATCTTTGATACTAATGACGTTAGATGCTGTGATGCCTGTGTGTAACGTTTCAGTTTACTTCTATTGATATTTGGTGGCAGTAGGCTGCTTGGATTTGATTGGTCAAATCTTACCTTCGTAATACAAATCACTGAAAAATATTTGGCTGAATTGAACTGATATAAAGCATTGTCCACAAATCTCTGTTGATTTTGTTTTTCATTAAAAATATTTGGTTGGTTTACTTTTTTTCTTTTGAATAACCAATAAATTATTCATCTATCATAAACACTCCCTTAAGAAATGAAAATTGATGAATGAAAAGTGTATTGGAAACATTTTTAAAATCTTAGACAGATTTCTTTTCTTTTTTTATGAACTTACATACTTGCATGGTTAGAAGAAGAAATACCAAGACTGCATGTTTGACTCGAACCTTTTCATTAGCAGTTTGTTTAGCTGGGATGGGCTCAAAGAATTGGAATCTGTATTACTATAACTTGGGTACCACTGGCCTATTTAAATCTTAGGAACACATTATGTTTTTTATACCATATATAAGTATAACTGCATGAGATTTTGTACTTATACCAGAGGTGTGATTTGAACCCTCAAGGTCTTATGTCAGTTGCCTCTTGAGTCAGTTAAGTCTGTGAGGATTAAGTGATTAGGCCTTAGTGATTAGACTTTCGGTGGAGATGGGACTGGGCCAGTGTTTGGTTGGAATTTAGGAGCAACTGAGCAACATTGAGATTAAATAAATGCCAAGACAGATTGCACAAAGGTGTGTGTGTGTTGTTAATGCATGATATGTTCACTTTACTAAGAAGAAAAGTGGACAGTTATAAGCCTGATGTTATCTAAAACATGAATCAGAAACATGACTGTTGTAGGAGGGCGTTCTATCACTTGAAAAGCTCTTTCAATAGCATCTGATTTGTCTGAGAAGTGCTATATAAACAAGGCCTAATTGGTTGCATGTTGATTTGATTTATATCAGATTTAAAATCTCCCTTTTTGTCCCTCAGGTCAGTTACACGTGGTTGGATCCCTTCAGCCTGTTGTAGCAGGTCCAGGTGATGATGTCATCCTGCCCTGTCAAGTGGAACCAGCATTTAACGTGGCGGGGCTGACGGTGGAGTGGTCAAAGCCGGACCTCCGTCCTGACCCCAACGACCGGCTCAGCCGAGTGGATTATGTTCATCTTTACAGAGACGCCCACGAGGTCCCCGACATGAAGCTCCCATCGTACATCGGGAGGACGGCGTTGTTCACAGACAGCCTGAGAGAAGGAAACATCTCACTAAGAATCACTAATGTGACACAAGAAGATGAAGGAAGATACAGATGTTTCATCCCGAAGTTAAAGAGTCAAACAAGGTTTTCAATTGTTCGTCTGATTGTT